CCAATTAAAAATATTTTTAATAAAAAAAATTTCAGGAAATGAAATAAAAATCAGGAGGAACATGAAACCTAATAGGTGTTGTGGTCACATTTGTGATTTCAAGGGTAAAGGAACAGCACTTTTAGGTTATATTATATTGTATTTCTTGCAGATTATAAGATGAACTATTCAGTATATGTACACTTTAAAAAATCCTCAAATCCAACAGCACTCCTCAGCTTGAATTAGACCAACATAAAGATGTCTTCTGTGCCTGTGTCTGCATTTTTGTCTTTTGCAAGCTAGTCTGAGTGTGGATAATTCTTGGTGAAAATTCTTCCATTCCTTGCATTAGTCTAATTGATGCACAGTGGCCATCACTCCCAAATACAAACCCTCTCTGCTCTGCTTAGTATTTTCCTGCCCCTGAACTCATCTGTCATGCAGATCATATTGTGCTGCACCTGCTGGGCACTGCATTTTATTACAGCTGAGAACAAACCATTATTCCACTCTCTCTAAAGAGGATACAGTCACCATTTTTAGAGGAGCATAGCATATTTCAAAGAGACCAGCACTAGAACTCAATGGGCTCTTTTTGGAAATGAGAACTCCCCATTAATTACATCCTAGGGAGTTTTGTTCTGGTGCCCAGTATGCTCACGGGAAATCTCATAGATTCATTGAAAAAAAAAATATGTGCATAGAACTGAGTACTTGGATCTAGGTCTGGCATGCTTTACAGAAATGTATTTCTGAACATTTTAGTTCCCAAGCAGATTTCAACTTCCTGTGGTTTTAGAGATAAATTTGAAGACAAGCACACTGTGTTGATGATCATCAGAAAAGAGAAGTCACAGTGGTTATTTTTTTCTGTCTCTACTTGGGCTTTTGCATGCTGTATGATTTACCTAATTACTTCTGTTGCATGTAGGTTGTCATACTGCCCAAACCTGGCAAGATACAGGGTGGTTTCCAAGTCACCCAGAACCTTACCATATGGCATGAGTTCCTAGGCAGTTTGGAAGCCACTTCTGTGGCACATCTGGCAGAGTCTGGATGACACAGCAATAATGCTAAACTATGGGTGAAATCACTGTGGTGTGGTTTGCTATGCTGTATGAACCTAGCCGGACAGATACAGCATGCTAAGGATGGTTTCTGTGTAACCATGGAGAGAAACAATGGTCTAGTCCAGTGGTTTTCACAGCTGGGGACTGGTGAAAACAGGAAACTCACCTTGGGGACCACTGAGGCAGAAACAAAAAGCCATGTCTCTCCTCCCCGTCCCTTTGGCAGTACCAACAACCGCCCCCCCCCCCGCCAATGAATGTGATGCCAACCAAGGAAGAGGTGGTGGAGCACAGCTAGGCCCCCACACCAGTCTGCAGCAAGCAGGATGTGCCCCCCGCCCCCAGACTGGCAGGAAATCTCCAGCAGATCTGCGCTGGTCCACAGACTGGTGGTTTTAAACCACTGGTCTAGTCCAGTGGTCCCCAAACTTTTTTCAGGCTACTGCTCCCTTTCATCTTGCAACTCTAGCATCCCCACACCTCTTCATTTGTATTAGGTCTACTACTCTACTGAAAATTTAAAACAACCAATCAATGCCCTCGCTGGATATTTTCCCTACCCTGGGGAATTACTACCCACTTTGGGAATCATTGGTCTAGTCTATGGTTTTTATGTGTCACTCTTGTTTGGTCACTGCAGTTTACACAAACATTGCTTGCAAGCTGTTCTGCATTGTTTTTCTGACAGAAGCATCTCTCCTCACTCTGCAAAGTTGTCCCTGAATGAGAGGGGCACATGGGCTATGTGCAGGACATTGCCACCAGGGTGAGCATGGTAATCCTGCAGTATGGTTTAGCCTTACGTGCGAATGCAACCATTGTGCAGGTAATTAGGCAAGCTGCTTGACAAGCAACTGGCACATGTATGTGCAAGAGGAAAAGCCATCATGATTGTGTAAATCTGTCCAGATTCTACAAAAAGCTAATACAAATAAAGCCTTTCTGGATTTTCAGCACATAATAAAAGTATACTTTTCCAACAGGCATTTCCAGGAAGGTTATCTTGTCCTTTGTACATCACTTGGATTTAAGTGGTTTATAAATAATAATGATTAAATTAAAAAAAACTGCTTGGACACAGAGGTTCAGTTCTGCGCATGGCTGCTTCCTTATCATGGGCTCCAGAAGACACACAATTCACTACCATATAACACATGTCAGATAAAGAACTGGGATTAATAAGTTTTTGGAATGGCTACTACTCTGAGCTATACATCTGGGGTTCCCAGGGCCCAGCCAAATACTGCCCAGTTACAAACTTGCTTAGCTTCAGAGTTGGAACTACTAACGTTTACTGGTAAATCCTTGCCAAACTGTTTATCTCATTTAAAACTGAAACACATTAGGCTGAAATTGCACTTCTATATTTACTTATCTGGGAATATTTCTTATTGAACAATAGTAGACATGTATAGGCCTGAACAGTGAAAATGGGAGATAAGAAAACTTGTATATGGTGAGTAGATAAAACAAATACAGTTATAAAAATGGCTACATCCACTTCTTGTTGGACATGTCAAAGTTACATTGTTTTTCCTTGGACTAGTTTACAGGATTTTGTCAAGTAGCTCTAATGGGAAAGACTATTATTACTGTTATTAGTCTAACTCATGACTTTTTTTCCTCTTTTGTGAGGAGTTCAAGGCAGTTTACATGCTCCTTCTCTTCCTCCTTCCGTTCTCCATTTTATGCTCACGACAGCCCTGAGAAGTAAGTTAGGCTTAGAGTCAGGGGCTGGCTCAGTCACCCATGAGTGAGCTTCATGGGTGAGGGAAGGCTAGGACCCTGATCTTCCAAGTCCCAGTCCACCACTCTGGTCCATTTATTCATTTTCACTTCATCTCACTGTGCCACCTTTCAGCACAGATTTTGTACATGCTCACTTGCTGCTCCCAGCTTAGTTTCACAAATGGCAATGCACCAGATGTACAGTGACCAGGTAGTTAACAGGTGAGTGAGCAATATTGGCTGCCCAATTAATCTATCTGTATTGTGCCTTTGTTAGAGCACTCCTTCTCTGAATTCTCGGGGATGGATGCCATTGCATCATCCATGTTAGAAAAGCAGAAGGAGCCTGGGCCCTCAGGGCAGCAGGCTACAGGCCTCTCTTTGCCAGGGTGAGAGACTTTGCCTCTGGGGAGCATTAGTGCATGTGACAGGCTGGTAGGGCTCCTGTGAGAAGCAGTGCTGGCTTTCAGAGAAGATATTCTTTGGCCTCCGAGCAGAAAGCTCTAATGTATTATAGCTGATCAATGGATGGGGCTCAGCAGACTATGGAGATATAATCCTTCAGTGGCTCCTTAGCAAGCTCTGAAAACAATGCCTTTCTTCAGCTTTGGTACTTTCTGCCTTGTTTCCTGGATTCTACCTTGAGAATCAGTGCTCTGTACAACTGACCTTTAGTTTCCTGCTTGACTTTGCTTATGGACTGTGTAACATATCTGGCTGTTTAACTGACCTTTGACCTTGGTTTATACTTTGACCTTCCCTGCCTACCTGCTCCCGTAGTGACAGAAACGTTTTACTTGATTGACTATCTTCTGACCAAGCTTTTTGGATTGCCCAATAATTGGAAGTCTGCTTTAGTCAAAGGAGGACAATCCCATATGATAGCACTGTGAGCAGCTGAACAGAGGTTCTTCTAGCCTTGTTGCTGCACCTCCACAACACCACAGTTGATAACTATGGCATTCCAGAAGAACATGGGCCAGGATGCTTTCTAGAGTCAGTCAGTCAAAGCTATAGAGGATGAGATGGAAAAGGCATGGGAGAAATAGACAGATAAGCAGGAGTAAGAGAAAGGGTGTGAAATCTTGCTCCTAAAGATGGATGAGCAGCCAGCCATGTTCTATTTCTTGGAGGGCAGCAGCATATAAAATGGCTCAGAAGTGGATGGAATGTGCCAGAGAGAAAAAAAAAGTGTTCACCTTTGTGATAACCTAGCTGTCTTTAGGCCAAGGCCAGGAGATGCCTGACTTTATTCAGGAATGCACAGAAGCAAAATTATCACTGAGATGTATTGTCAGTAGGTGAGTTTCTCACAGCAATGTTCTAATACCTGCTTGTTCATCCAAAATGCTAATACAAGCATTTAAACAGTCCTAGATATGCACCTAAAATGCAATTTGTCCACAAGGTCATAGTCGCCCCTCTCTGTTTAGATTACAATTGAGACTTGAGCTCTATGTGACTGACCATCATCATGCCTCACTCACGGCAGTTGATCACACTTCTGGATGACAATATCTTGCACTTGCAACCCTCCTGAGTTTTCCCACCACTCCTGCCATCTTTCCCTCTTATTTCCTTACTGAGAATGAAAAGATGGAACAACTCCATGATGCCTTCTGCTTGTCAGTACTAGGAACCCCCCAGGCCCGTCTGAAAATCCTCTTAGCTAAATCCAACATATCAGACATGCAATATGTGTTTTCTGACATAAGTCTCAGCTACGTAGATGACTAACTTGAAACATACAGAGTTTGTTTAGCGAGCTGATGGCTGCAGGCTTCTCCTCCAAATTTAAATTAGTGATCTAGCTGTTCGGATCATTACCACCCTGTTGAGCTATTATGTTGCCTGAAACCAGGGACTCTGGTCCCAGAGCTACAATAGTGAGAAAAAGTACAGTGGATACTGACATTATCCTCAGATCTTATCCAAAGGTATTAGGGTATTAGAGTATCATGGAGCGATATACCACTGTAAAGATTATTTGTGTTTATTCTTCCCATTGCTGCTAAAGGACTTTCCTACTTTGGTACTGGTTTTGTTTTCCTGCAGTGTGAAAAAGAACGCATCCATGCATATGAATGGTTATAACAAGAAAGCCCCCTTTATTGAACTATTTAGGGACAACAAGTTCTTTTTTAGAAGTGTTAAGACATTTCCCCATCCTTTAATAGAACAAGAAATGGCTGGCAGTGTCAAAACTGGCATTTGTTTGTTTGTTTGTTTGTTTATTTATTTACCACAGCAAACGTGACAGTAATTATACATGATGTGGCTGCTCAATTTATTTTTTCTTAAAGACTTGATGGCACACCTGGTCTTCACATGTCAGCTCCTGTAACAGTAAAAACCATTGGTAAGTACAGACAGTTTCCATTGGTTTCCTGTTGTCAACATTCTCCCCTCAAAACTTGCAGATAAAACAGCTGAGCTGCTGCATTAACAGTGGGGCTGGGCTATTAAAAGGAGCAGAGCAGTGTATTTTACGTACCCAATCAGCCAGCAAGCACTACAGGTTGCAGTAATTAGATTGTGACACTCGAATTGAGTTTTTAAAAGGATAAAAATGAAAAATGCATGGAAATTGCTCTGTAGCGGCGGGACATTGCATACTCTATTATTAACCAACATACTGTAATTTATTAAATTCACAGAAGCAACAAGGAAATTGCAAAAGGAGAGAAGGAAAAGCTTTGAAGATAACAGGAGGTAAGTGCAACACTTTGTCAATGGGGTTCTCTACCTGGTGTCTGCAGGGTTTGGGTCTCAACTTGGAATGTTGTGCTATCCATTGCAACCTGACCAATGGGAATATTGGCAAACTTTAAATTTGTTTTGTCTTTCTGAAAGGAGGATAGGATGCTGGTTGTGCAGGGATGAAAAGACATGGCATTTTAATATACTGTATCTTATTAGCCTCCTTATGCTAAACATAAAGAAAGGATTATATGATCATGAAAGTCTTTAAGAACAGAGGATAGATGAGCAGGTACTGTCCAACTTGCTAATGCAAGCATCACTCCTTTGCAGACACATCCTCAGTGACTCCAAATAGTCAAAGGTAAGCTGACCTGGTTTGCAACATCAAAAGCAGACCACCAAAGAGAAGTTACATATTCTAACAGGGAATTTCCATGTGCTTATAGTGCTGAATTCTCTCCAGCAATTTCTTTTGGAGGCACACTCCTATGTAGATTTAGACAGGGATTGTAGGGCTTCATTCGGTCTAAATCACATATTTGTGCTTTAAATCAATATGAGTAATCTACCAACCAGCAGATTTCCATGGGTTAAAACACACACACATCTGTTAAAATACCCGACAATTTTATTTTATCAGAATAAAAGTACAAGTGCCACAAGAACTACATAACTAGTTCCAAACTCCATGCAGGATTCTTTATTTGAAAAAAAACGAACACAGATTCCTTCACTATCCAGTGCATGACTCCTTTGAAATTTGGGGACTTCTGTGATCTGTCACAAGGTACTGCTATGAGTTATGTTTATTGTCACTATCAGTAGTATTAATATTAAGAAAGCCACTGAATTCTGGTTTAAAGGCAAACATTTATGGTGTACTGCTATGCATTATGGTCTTAGAATTAAGGAGGGCACAAAATTCTGTTCTTATACAGAACCACTCAGCAGAATTTTCAGTCCACATATGGCAGAATCTTGCCAAGCTGATCAGAGTCTGGCTTGGACTCAGAGGAGTTGTAGTCAATATATCTGGAAAGTTCTAGGCTGGGGAACTGTGTTGCATGAATCCTGTCCGTGCAAGTTGATTCAGTCAACAAAGACTTGTTTCAGTAGTGCACTTTGAAGGCAGAGCAGGAGGGCTTTGATCTTCACTTTTCTGATTGTTCTTCCAAATATTCTTATGTAGGCTTTTATTTTCTCCACATTTCACTGACTGCTTATTTTCTTAACAGGTCCCTACGGTCTCACTCTCCCATTCCATTTCTGGTTTGGACTTCAATTATTTGCTCAACTGCTCAATTACTTGCTCCCCAGGTTTTTTTTTTTTTTAAATTCCAGTAGCACTAAATTATATGCTTTCTATTTGCACAGGATTGCACCTTAGACAGCAAAAGGGCCTACAACTCCCAGCATGCCCTAACAAGATCTGTGGTTGGAGCATGCTGAGAGTTTTTTCTGTTGAAGCATTCATAGGCTTGTGTTCCTAAATTAAATACTAGGTGCCTGCTGAATGTTCCAGGAGCTATTTTCTAAACTGCTTTTCTGCACCATTTGTATTACAACCTGCAGAACTTTTTTCATGTATATCATGCTTCTGACAGCTTATAAATCAAGTTAAGCTAAATAAATAAATACTATTAATTGCCATGTTATAATATGAAGGGAAGGCTGGCTCACTCCATTTTTTACACTTCATATTGTATCTCCCATTTCTTGCGGTTGATTTTAATACACCAAAAATATGTGGTTCTCACAATGATTTGATTTCATTGCCCCAGTAGGTTACTGGTTCCTCTCTAGTCCCAGTGCTAACAAACTCAAATAGAAATCCTGTAGTCCCAAGAGTGTCTCAGGAACTGTAGTATTTTTTCAACTCCCTTCCAAGACTGCTACAATTTGGAAGTGAGGCTGTGGTATTGAATCCCTCCCCAATTCCCTGCAACAAAGCTGAAAGAAGGATGGCTGCAGGTCCCAGCATGCAGTTCACTGGCAAACAGGAAATGGGGTGTCAGTGCATGGTGAGGCGATACGAAGAATTCTGTGGCCTCTCAGCCCCAGCCCACCTCTTCCAGCACACCCTCTCTAGATGTGCTTAGGGAGGCCTGTCTGAGGTGGGTGGGGGAGAGCAGAAAAAAGAAAGGAGAGTTGCCTCTATTGCATCTCCTGTCCTGTTAGCAGCAGTGTGGCAGGACACTGGATAGGCAAATACCTGAGTTTGGAGGCTTCCATCTCAGGGCCTAGGTCAGCCAGCCCAGGAAAAAGCTGCCCCTGGGAGACAATGCTTGCAAAGTCAGAAGAGTTATTTTCCTGTCAACACTTGTTGGGAGGAAAAAGGTCCAGTGAGGATAGAATCAGAGCCCAAAGTTATCAGCTAAGTGAGCTACAGAAGCCAGTGGGGTGGTCTTTCCTAACATTAGGGGAAATCCGAGACAGAAGACCAAATATGAGATGGATCAGTTCCATAAAGGAAGCCACAGCTTTGTGTTTACAATAGCTGGACAGCGTTGTCAATGGCAGGAGATTTGGGGGTACTCATTCACAGGGTTGCCATAAGTCAGAGGTGCTGGCCTGTCACAACAGGATTGTCTGAGGCATGCAAAAGTCAGGTTGCAGAAACAGCCATTGGTAGACAAGAGGCCAGAATGGCAAGGAAGACGATTGTCTGCTGCTTCAAGCCAACCACATTGGGGAGATGCAGTGGAACCCAGGAAAGCTCTTTAATAAGGTCCCACAATTATTGTTTGTTCGTTTAAAAATCATTTAATATGTTGAATATTTTGTATTATGTTATTATTCTGTAAAGTGCCCAGAGAGCTTTGGCTATTGGGCAGTACAGAAATGTGATAAATGAATGAGAGGACAACCCATAGGAAAATAAGTTGCCATGCTGGTTTATTTATAACCCACCTCTTTACTGAAAATGGTCCTGTAGATGGCTAACAGGCATAATGAAAAATTCTTTCCTTTTGTGTCAGGTATCAGATTTCTAGGCACAAGAAGAAGAAAAAGAAGGCTCTGACCCATGAAAAAATTCCAGGAGGCAGTACAAAAGGATGATGTCACCCTTGGCAAGGGGATTTCATCACTGACAGTACTGAAGTGTAGGGTTCAGCTTCAACAGTGACTGCTAGAGTCATAGACCATTGAATCATGGTGTAGATTATGCTTGCATCCCAGTTAAAGCAAAACAGTGTTTAACTTTCAGAGTTTAGTACAGAAATGTTTCTGTGTATTTCTGCCTCATTCCAATGCCACATAACCTCTAAATAGTGTTGGAATGTGTTTTGATCAGTATTAACCATAATTTGGATTTCTAAGATGTACTAGTTCTTGCAGGTTGCTGAATGAAAGCAGATTAATTACATAAGCCTTTTCCGTAACATCAATCTGGTTATGGAATGGAATTCCATCCCAAAAGAACTTAGAGAAGTTAAATTTTAATGGTTTTTAGGCAAGCAGTAAACATGTTTTCATTTAGTCTTCCTGTGATACTGAATATTTAACTTAATCTCATCTGGTTTTATTCATTTTACTGTTTTGCTATAATGCTCAAAACAAATTAAAACACTTTGGGGGTGCTTTATAGGACTAAAATGGAGTCTCACAGAATCCTTATAAATTAATAAATATTTGTATCCTATCTTTTCTCCAGGTTGCTCAGGTTGGCACAGGTGGAGTTCTTTCATTTCCTCATGAAGGTGGCCAGGGAACATTGTAGTTGAGCAAGGATTGAACTTGATTTAACTCTTAAACTCTTGATTTAAGAGTCCAAGCTCTTAAAGCCACACAGTACAGTGGATCCATATGCTGGTGGTTGTGGATCAGATAGAAAACAAAGGATAGAAAGGAAAGGGTGCCCAAGCAGTTTCTAAAAGAGAAGACATGAAAGTGAAATGAACAAAGGCTATGAGAAAATCTTGAAAAAGTTACCAAACTTCATTGTTGCCTTTAGTATAGATTCTGTACCAATGGGCACCACTCTTACCAAATGCAGTCTGTCTCCTTCAATCCAGTGTTTCCATCCTCTGTTCTTCTTTTCACCTTTCTGGACACAGATTAGTTTATCTCCATCCCAGGTCACTAGTGTCTATAAGGATCAAATGATAAAATCTGTAATCTCCTATAAATTTAAAAGGCTCACAACAAATCACAACAAACTGGAGCCAAGGTGACACAATGGCAGCAAATAGTTAATGGGCAAAAAACCTATAACAGACAATACTACCACCATCACCACCCACAAAACCACTTAAATTCAAGTGGCAAAGCAATAGTGTCACTTAAAGTGTTTTATGCTCCCAATTCCCTGCTATTCCTTTTGACACAAAGATCCACAATATACACACAAAAGAAGAGAATTAGATAAAGTGAATTTATGATGGCATTTGTCTACAGAAAAAGAGCATAGATATGGAATCTGCATTATCCTGTTCTTTCTAAATAGAATGCAACAAAAGCATTATGAAACCCAGCAGCAGGAAAGTCATGGATCATTTAAACTAGTGCAACAGTTTCTCACACATGCTTGTATTTCAGATGCAGTGAAATTCTTGGTGATGGGGCAGGACTGTTCATGAAAGGTCTTGATTCAATGGTTCTGCACAGCAGCACTTTTAAAAGCATGACTAATCTTACCAGATTGCAATCCTATGCAAGTTTAGACAGAAAAAGGTTTACAGCTCTCAGCATGTCCAGCCAGCATAGATGCATATGGGATGCACCATTTGAGATGCATAGTCCTTTTTTGGTCTGAATTTGCATAAAATTGAAATTGTATCCCAGGAAGATTAGTTAATGAACGCGGGTGTGGTGTGGTGTAACTGCTGAGCTGGGGACACAGGAGATCCAGGTTCCAGTGCCCCTTGGCCATGAAGTTCACTGGGTGACTTTGGGCCAGTCACAGACTCTTAAGACCAACCTACTTCATACGGTGGTTGTTGTGAGATAAAATGGACCTATGTAAGTTGCCTTGGGTTGCTCACAAGAGCAAAAAAGCAGGATATAAATGCAATATGAGAATAACAATAGGACTGCAACTTGAATCACCTTATTTGTAGACTTATGAAGCAGGATATTTATTGTATGGACAACACAGGATAGAAACGTTGTTCTTCAACCCTATAACAGCCACAAGACTCTGGAGGACATATTCTGTGTGAAGATCAGGATACTGGGAGCCTTGAGTGGCCACTAATATATCACCTAAGACTAGTCCACAGATTTGTACATGCAAATTTATCTGTGTCAATGCCCACTTAGAAATAATTGTTATGATTAACTAGAAACAGGATACAACTTGTCCTGGCAGTTCTTCCACACCTCCTTCTAAGTAGATCAAGTCAATGGTTTTCTAACTAAAAGGCTTTGCTAACACTGGCCAGCTTGGCTGGCTTTAAAGTACAGATGAAGAATATTATAAAAGCCAATTACAAAAGAAAGAAGCAGAATTAAAATGCTAGCAATTAAAGAAAACATCTTAATAAGAAGTTGATTCCAAACTGAATACCTCTGTTCCATACCTAACTGACTAAGTAAATGAGGTGAATCCAATTAAGAAGCAATCACATGGAGTATCTAGTACTTCTCTTCGGTCTGTTTTTCTCCCTGATGCTGTACCTCAGGATTAGTGATGCTACATCCACCCCTCCATATTAGCCTGCTCATTAAGCTTCCCTACAGTATTGAGACTGCTCAGTGACCACCTCGTTTGTTTTTGGGCCCAGAGGCCTTTGTATTTTAACTACAACTTGAAATAATAACCCATCATCCTTTCTAAGTCAGAATCTGTTTTTACATGTCTTGACAACTCTTCTGTGGGGACTAGATGCTTTCTTCCTACAAAAATCACTATAGTTGGAAAATCTATGAGCAGGTGATCTGCATGCTAGCTGAGTCTCTGGTATGTGGTCATGTGTGAGGAGAATCTTCTAGTTGAAGAACTGTCCAGTGCAAAAGCTCAGAATGATCTCTATCAAGACATCAGACTCTGCAGGCAATTGGTCATTCAGCCATGTTCTTCCTAATGGGCTTTTGCATTATATTGCTTCTGTGTTACTGATATTTCCTTTTCCTTGGCAATGTCTGTGCTCCCACCCCAGTCATACATGGGCTAGCTATGGATAGGCAACTTCAAGGCCCCTGGTCTTGTTTCTTAGGCCATTTACCTTTAACTGGGTTGGATTAGGCGGCCTTGAAATACTTCTATGTGAAGCACTTTACTTAGTACCACTATGTAGAGATCCTTCTTAACCACTGCTTTTTCTAAAAGCATTTCAGTCCTAAAATTTGGGGGGCCTTTGGGAATAGGTACAATGGGTGGGGGAGGAGATGCCTTTTGCATGTGAAAGCAATCAGGATTTCTTTGAATCCTGGCCATTCCCTCCACTTGCGCTGCTTGTTTGTTGCCTTCTCTACAATGATCAGTAGAAGAAAATGTAAGCTCTGCACACACTGACAGTATCCCCCATCTCTGTGCAAGAGAAGCACAGAATGACTCTCTTAAAAATAATTAATTCCTACTTCTCCTGCAAGAATAGCAGTGTGTTGGTGTGGGAATGTTGGGCAGAAATCATCTTGATAAGAAATCAGATAGAATTATAAGAGAAATAAGATGCTTTTTCTTTTTTCAGTCAGATAACAGCAGTGAGATAGGAGGAGAAAATTGAGGTTGCAGAAAGTTCATGGAAGAAACAGTTTTGTTCCTTGATAGGACTGGTAAAGGATAGCTCTGGCAAGGTATAAAGAGCATGCTGTGATGTCAGGGCATAGAAAGGTCATGGATGATAAAAAATATGTTGGCTATAAGTAACACATTTCTCTCTATTCTTCTTGCAGGTGGGTGGGGGCAGGGATAATTAGGTGATTGAAATGGATGCTATTCTGTCCTGGAGATCTGATACAGAACCATATGGGCACAGTTTGCAGTGTGGGTTCTCTTTATTTTCTTTACAGTGGCTAGAATCAGAAATAGCACACTGAAAAACTGATGTATTTGGCACTAAATGTTATAGTCCTACAGTGAGATCCTCCCCTGATCCCATTTCCCTCCATTCCATCAGTGGAAGTAAATAAACCAAACATTGACTCTGGTATCTGACCAATATCTTCTAGGAGGCTTATCAAACATTGTGTAGCTTTGGAACACTCCCCATCATCTGAAACACATCCTAGCCAGATCTCAGTTAGGGATGGAAAGAACCACCTGAATATATGTTTTCTTAATGGGCAATAGGAAAGCTATGACTGCTTTCAGAATATGCATTAAACCTCTCTCCATTTTCTCTCTCAATTTCAGTTCTGAGAAGAAAATGAGGAGAGTGACAGTGTAAAGCTATCCAAATCTGAATTGTAAAAAAAACAAAAACAAACACTACTAAGAGATGCAGTGTCAAAAAATGCTACTATCAAGAAACATGCTGTGTTAAATGCTAACAATCAGACTCATGGGATCTAAAGCTGCTATTACAATTAGAATACAGTATCATAGAATGTTTGCATCTTAAATCCAGGCTTGCCTCTCCCCTCTCCTCTCCCCACAATGTTACAGTTCTTGATATTTGATAGATTGATGGGTTACTCACCTGGTCCAAAGATTGGATTCAAATAAAAGTAGCATTATCTTTGGACCTATTAAGTCATCTACTGTTCAAACATAATAGTAAATACAGTGCGGAGTTCAACGATTATGCTCAGACTTAGTCATACTTTGAGTACACTCAATGAATCAATGGACTTAGCTGAGTAGTGCAACTCCCATTGATTTTAATGGGCATGCTGTAAGCATAACAGAAGGAAAAATTCAGTGGCTCCCTATCTATGGGGCCTATGATAGTTCAGATTCCCAACACCAAGACTGGAGACCTGCTCTGATATTGGAACTGGGAGTTGGAGCCCTTCCCCCTTGCAGCAAGTGTGGAAAGAACAGCAATGGTTTCTCTCCAAGTTTGGAAAAGCGACCTCAGAGAAGAGGGAAATGGAGCATTTCAGGGTGGAGTAGAAGAAACCGGAGTATCCCGGATATGAAGTACCCTGTAGCTGTACCAGCATCCTCCTGCTGCCCCACAGAAATTTTTATTAGATAGCCAGAAATGGGCATCTAGCAAAAATGCAGAACAGGAGGAACGTGCAGGCAAAGATCACTTCCTCTTGCTCTTACTGGATGAAAAGAACCTCTGAGTTTGGAGGCTCTTGCCCATTTTGATTAGATTGTGCCCTTTGTCCGAATCTAACCAACTCATTTTATCTCATACATAAAAGGCTTCAAAATATATTCACTGTTCTCTTACGCAAAATTCTTGGAATAGTAATGAGAATCTAATGGCAAGAACAAAAACTTAATCTTATCTAACCCTTTTATAGCTTATCCTTTGGAATATAATTGCTAGAGGGGACATTTATTTGTTCAATTTATATCCTGCTCTATTTCATGGCCTCAAAGCAGTTTACAGTAATCTTTGCCCCTTATGGGCTCACAATTTTAGAATGACTCCCAGTAAATTGATGTAGGTTCTAGGTACTTTTTCCACTCTTTGCACTTCTCTATTCTGTATCTGGCTTGAAGACAGGATTTTCAAGACCATTGAAAATAAAACATGTTAAAATTAGGAATGAGATTGTAGCACTTTATGAGACTTTAATAAGAGATTGAGAATATCACATTTTCTGCTAGCATGAGTCATCTGATTTCTGCATCCTCTTTTGTATGCTCCCTTTCTGAACTTGTCAGCTCCACTAGACAGCTACAGAGCAGGTAGTTTGGTAATACAGAAAAAAGGGCTCCACAGTAGGACTCCATAGTACAACTCTACCACAGGCCACAACAAAGCCAGGCTTAAAGAAAGTATGCTTTGTTTTTAGATTGTGAACCTGTTTTGTAGAAGGTAATGACCAGGTGTGCATGTAGTGGCAAGCAAACATGGCTGAATTTCCATGTGGGGCTTCCCATTTTGCATTTTAAAAAAATCAAGCTGTGGTGGGGTTGTTATTCAGCTTCTTATTATGTATAAACGGAATAAAGGTGAGTTGCTGGGATGGTTAATAAACTATTGAGAACTCATGGCCTATTTTAGGGTTGTGGGTGGCTTGTAGACCACCCCAAGAACCCACTTTGGCCCAGTTCACAAGTAGGAATGAACTGCAGGCTGCCCTCACCATTGCTCTAATGTTCAAAATAATGGTTCGTTCTGCAACAAGAATCCCCACAGTGAAGGTCACTCACAATGATTTCTCAATATATGTGAACTTGCACACACTTAGAGGTATTAGTTCCAGTCTGAAAGAATAACATGGAGTGAGAGATGCATACTATATGCAAGTTTTATAGATACTTGTACTAATGTAAAATGTTTCCCTGCAGCTACCGATGGTCACTGCTGAAGTTACCTAGCATGCAAACTTTGGAGTGCACTTGTGGTGCAAAAGTCAAAACAATACCTTGCCACAACACTTTGCCACAGGCAGGGAGTCACCATAGTCATGAATGAAAAAGTTTCCACCACAGGTAGAAAGTCTGCCTGTAGGAACCCAGAAGGGTAAATAGTTCAGTAATGGCTTCCACCATTGAGAGGAATCTGCTTCAGCCTATGGGGAACTGTGGAGAAAGCCCGTAGCTGTCAGCTGGGGATATATTAGTATCTGAGGAATCATGAGGAGTTGAAAACAGATGAAAAGCACTTTTGTTTTACTGTCAAAAGAAATTGAGAAATCATCATGATTTACATATAGAAAAATAGTTGCAGTAGAAAAACAGCCAAATTTTGAAATGCAAACCCCTGCTTCTTTATAAATAAACATTTTTTTTAAAAAAATTAAATTTTCTTTCAACCTATTTTCTGGAATTTCAGGTAGTGATGTGGACTGCTCTGAAAATGGAAAACAAATCATAGGTTTCTACCTTCACCACTCGGTTATCAAGTCCCTTGGTGTGCTCTTCAAATTCCTCTCCTATGGTGTAATTCAGTTCATAGTTTCTGAAAGTGCTCACTGTTTTTGTCTTGAAATGGTTACCCTCTTGAATAATTTCTTTTGTTTGTTTCAGGTGGTTTGCAATCTTGCGGGTAGCAAAGTCAATGCCTGCAAATAGTCCAGAAAATATTTAGATTTACAGTGCCTCTTTTCAACACGGTGCTTCTAATGGCGACATTTTAAAGAAGTTGTGTGTCCCCAACAGGCATTTTCTTAGAGGACTTCGTTTCTTATGCTGTATTAAATTGTGTTTGTAAAAATAGGATGTTTGTGAGGTGGCTTGCTAGGCCATGGAAAGATGCTTGCTTGAATAGCACATCTGCACATGTCACTTCTTAGCATGACTTTAACCCAAGACTATAATTCTCTACATACTTTTGTGAGAGTAATTTCCACTAAACAGGCTTTTACGTGCTCACAAGTTGAACTAAAGTGGGGTGACGGAAGAGGGAGTGCACATAAGCTCTCTCTCTCTCCCTGCTCCACTGGAACCTTGACTTTTGCACTTTGCGAGTGAAATTTTCAAAAGGGGTCCACTAGTGTATTCAGCTGAACATACGTGGAGAGCTTCCATGGTTGGAAATCCTGAGAAAGCAGGATTTCAGTCACAGGAGCTCAGTAAGTTCACTCAACGAAACATGTTAGAGAACCTTTCTGAGAACTTCATGCTTAGGGTGCAGGACCACTATGGGCACGTCTTATACATGTGCTCATCTTTCTCTTCCTACTTTAGCCTTGCATGGGAGCAGATGAGCATCTCCACAGGGATACAGTTGGGCTTGTCTCTGAGAAAACAAGCACAAGATTGAGCTGCAAGATGGGATGGAAAACCAATTTCAGCCCAAAGGTGCAATTGGATCTGGACTAACGTGTTGGGAGACATACAACTTCAGTGTGTGTGCTCAAACCAAATGTCAAGTGCAATCACTACTATTAGCATGTGCCTCCAACACACACACACACACACACACTATTGTAATATATGAATAGAAGCTGTTTTCTCTGGCTGAATTTATGGCAATAATCATAAGTTACTAAACTTGGTAACAGGTAACCCCCTCACTCAAGGGATTTACTATCTAAAAAATCAGTAGAATTTTCCCCACTCAACTCAATGTAATATGCCTGAAGCATAATTGTTAAAATATTATACAGGTTTAATCAAGAATTAATATACACATGTATAAATTCTATAATTATAATTCATGTGATTCAAGCTGTAAATCAATATAAAGTAAAACAATTATGTATCTCCATTAGGTACCTGTAAAAGATAATGGTAGATTCCATTCATGATATGCACACATGTTTCACCCTTTTAAGTCAGTAACCATCTGCTTTTATACCAAAGTACTCCTATATCTGTGCAACATAGTTGCTCAACTGATGGTTGGAACTGTTGGCTTTATGCCTATCAACTATCTGCAGATGTAAGACATCTGAATTCAGGTTGTCCTCAGTGAGGAAAAGCATGGAAGGGAACTCAGGCTTGGCCTTGCATCTCCAGGAAATTAATTGAGTGGTTCTGGCACAGCTATTGAACAAAAGCATCCTTCTGTTTAGTGCCAACAACAGCAAGAAACATTACACTGTGCAATGTTCCTGTTTTCCATCCCAGTTTCCTATTTTCTCATATTGTAAACAAATACTATACAGTTTATACACCTTGTGCTTCGGCAGAAAAGTTGTATAAAAACGGAGTACATTAGAAAAACAGGCAGACTTACTGACTGATTTACTTGGTCTCTGTAAGATTTTTTCTGTAGGAGGTTTGGACAGGAAGTAGATTTGGATTTACTGCTATATATCTGGATAATGTAAAGTAGAACAGCAAGGCTCCCAATTGTTTAACAATAGCAGAAACAAAATGGCTTCCCCCTCCCCAGTCCTAAATGATACTACATAAATTAAGAAAGCTTGATGCAGATTAATTTTTGGAATTGTATAAGGACAGTAAATTCCATTTTGGTGTTCAAACCAAATTAAACAAAAATTGGTTCTCAGGCTTCTTTAATTCTAGTATCAGGCTCTGTACAGTGGATTTTGGGTGTCCTAACAAAAAGTAGATTACACAAGCCTGAAGTCTGCCTTCCACTGACCTACACAGCGTCTTGGCAATACTACTAAATTATTTTTACCGTGCCTAGCAACGTTTGCCACTGGAATGCTGATTTACGACCAAGCCATAGTATGCCCAAATGCTAGCTCAGAACATGGGTTGTCTTGACTGCTGTGATGCTGCAAGGATGCAATCCAAAGCATACTTATTAAGGGAGTATATTGCATGACACTCAGTGGGCTCATTTCTAAGTAACTTGGCTGAGTTAAGATTCAGAAATATGTTAGAAAGATCTATTGAAATAATGGCTGTCATACTCACTTAAATTTCATCGATTTCATCAGCTCTACTCTAACTAAATCTATTTCCAACCCAAAATATTTTGAATTTTATTTAAAGGCAAAACTTATCCGTAAATTATATCTGTTATAATATTTACCTAGTGCAACCATGTAACCTTCAAAGTTTTCATTGGATTCCATTTCCCATGTTCCATTGTAGTCTGCAGGCATTGTAGCTAGGGGAGTTGAAATCCAATGATGGCTCAGCTATGGAACTTGGAAGGATAGTCTGCAAAAGGAGCATGCTGCACTTCTGCCTTTTAATGTTTCTCTGGATGATGTTTATGGTTTCCAAGATAATGTAGTCTAAGGGTCAGTGAGATAAAGTGAACAGAATTTTACCTTCATCACCGAGGTTCAAGAGGGCAGAATACAAAGAACGACTGAGCTGGGAATTTAGAAGCAAAATGATTTTTCAATTAACTTTGTAAAAAAGACAAAAAGAAAGAAGACAATAGGAATTTCTTTTGAGAACCAAGACAGAGTTCTGAAATATTCAGTACATAGCAGGTTAAATTTGTGTTTAGTTTGCTGATATTCAGAAGTTTTTAGATCTTGTTTGAATTATATGGTCTTTCTGGGTCCATGGAGCATTTAAGAATTATTTTCTAGTAAAAATATTTATTACCCCTGGTTCATCAGACAACCACTCAGAGCCAAAAGTTGCCCTACACAGCCGAAGAGTGACTGAGATGAAGGCGTGACCTAACTTCTTTTCAGTGGTCTCAAGCAGTGGGCCACACCACTTCCATGAATGTCCCATGTGAGAGATACTAGTTTCAATGACGTGAAAAAAAGATTTTGATTTCTGAATACCAGCTTGACCAACACATTGCTGAGCTCATGCCCAGGCAGGGCAAGGTAATGAAGGATTATGAGATGTTAACAGAGAAACACACAGAAGTTGGGTGAGGCAGCATCCAAGGCTACTCGCAGCTCCCAGTGACCTCCAGCATGGTGCTCTGCTCCTCTTTCTCTCTCTTGCAGGAGCTGACTATGTTCATAAGGGTCTCTCTAGGTTTACCTGGTTGGCTGCTTTAGTAGTGGGCTACTCCTACTGGGATGCCAGAGAAGGCTTCAACAGATGGGAATCAGGAAACCTGCCATTTCTTTCTGTTGCAAGGTGTGTGGGGAAGAAAAGGAGAATGCAGGAGTAACCTGCCATTGAGCTCTGTTGGAAGCAAAAGCTTCTGACCTGGAATAATATAGGTGCCCACCTGCTCATTGCTCCCTGTAGCCCAAGCAATAGGGCTTTAACTACACAGTTTTATATTTTGTGCCACCTAAGTCATTGTGACAAGTATTTTTATTCTAGTTATCCAGAATTTATTGTGAATCTCTTTGTGCATTTTAATAGAATGACTGCTTTATGCTGATTTCCATTTTAATTTCTTAATTATTAAATATTTGGCCTATGCATTTTATTTTACACATTCAGTTTGAAAGACTGCAGATTAATGATTGGTTTCCCCATATGATGTTAACAAGAAACCACCCCACTATCCCCAGGGCAGTTTTTCACTTTCAAAAGTTATCTCTCCTCTCCTCTCCTCTCCTCTCCTCTCCTCACAAGATGATGAATGAGTGAATGAATGAATGAATGAACATCCCTTTCCAACCCCAACTAAAAGTGAACAGCTGACCTGAAGAATGGTCAAATCTGATTATGAACCAGTGTTCAATTCACTAGTATTCATGTCTGGCGTTTCAGCTGTGGTTGTAGGAAAAAGCTGCCTTATCCTATATCTGAAAGAATTCACAGAGTGCTCTCGTTTGCTTCCAGCTTGAGTGGCAGCTTGATGGTAAGTGAGTCTTAAGAACCAAAGTTTTTCTGGGCTGGGACAGGGGTAGCAGTTTCCCCTGCCAGGACACCCTGCTACCATTGCCTGTGTCCGGAAAGCCTTCCAGCATTTTCATTTGTCACAATTCCCCAGAATGATGACTTGTACACACAGATGTAAATCTGCATCTAGGGAGATGGTCAAGTACGAAAGCCACCCTGAGCTACTGAAAGAGCACAAGTGCTAATGGAATTTTTGCACAAGTGCAAAAAAGGAATTTTCTACCAAGGAAACCAAGCTCAAGAGGTGACATCAGGGTGCTGAATACTAACATCAGATGTGCCTCTCCCCAACACCAATTCTATTAAATTAAGTTCAGATCTTATAGGTACCTGGCCATGACTTAAAACAGAGGAGACAGTCTGCACTGCAAGTGTCATATTCCAGATTTTCTAGAAAGAGGGAAGGACTAATTCAGCTCTACTAAAAGCTGTGATTTTTTTTAAATGAGTTGGATCCAGATTTTGTTATATTTACAGTGAAGCAAAGGGGTCAATCATAAGTAGCTTAGGTTCCACCAATGTCATGTCATCTAGTATAATTAAGTCTAGCTCCAACTCCATTCTGTACTGGTACTTTTCTTCTTTCCTGGCTTTTCATCATTTGTGCCTTCATTTGGCCTGCTTATCGATTTCTGTTTCCTCAGCCAGGTTTTAAGAGGACCCATGTGAGCACAAGAAGCTTAAGAGAAACCTGTGATGTCTCTAGTGTGAGAATGTTGGAACTGCCGCCAAAGACCAACAAAACACATGATATGGTCTCTAAAGAAATGCTTATATTTTAATGTGCAGTGCAGTTGGTATTGTAATGACCAGCTCCATCGTAAAGGGAGCAGGCCAAATTGCCTGATAACTTATGGACAGGTGCATCCTTGCCATGCAGCTTTCTTATGTCTATAATAACTCTATCTGACACAAATGCTGGAAGTATTTGCTTTGTCAGTTAACATGATAGCTCAGTAGCTTCCTCTCGGATGAAGATAGTGCTGAGGTCAGCTTCAGATTTCATTAAAGAAGTGATTTCTTGCTATCACAGGTCTCCAGATGTAATGTTGTTTTCTTCCTGCCTGCAGCAGCAAACATACTGAAGGTCGGGATGGGGGAGGCTGTATCATAAGATGTCAGCAGGTCTCTGAAGACAAATTGTAAAACACTAAAAAGCAATATGGGAAGCTTCATTATGGCACTTTGAAATAAAGTAAGAGGCAAGAAAACCTAATAAACTTCTGGGTAACTTCTGATTTCATTTGCACTAAGTGAGACTTTAGAATGAACCCCTTGACATAAGATGAAATTGCACTGATTTACACCCCTTGGTGTCGTAAGGAAGAATGTGATTCGTATAACCAAAATATTCATTGGCAAATACATGGGAAGTATAAAAAGTGAAATTGACTCTTACCCTCGGAAGTAACTAGAACTTTTTTTTTTACCTCAGGAAAAAATTATGTGTGTTGGTAGCAACTAGCATGGCCATTTATCCTCCTCTGTAGAGGACAATCCTCTATTTGGAGGGCTGTTAGAGCACTGCCCTCTATGTTGAAGTCATCCTCTAGCTGAGTATTCAAAATGGCCAGCAGGCAGCCCAGCCCACTGCAGCTTAAATAAGCTATTGTGGGCTGTTTGATTGTGTGAACTGGTTCACTGAATCCTGCTTCATCTGATAGACCTCATGCATATAGACAGGTGGAATTCAGGGCTATCCCAGAATAGGTAGCTAGTATAATGTTGGGGGTACTTGGTATATAATTTTACAGAATATCATCTTTTACTTGACTTTAGGTGAGCATTCAGGAAAAATCTCTCATTTTGGCTTAGCATTAGTTGTAACAGAGAATAAATTCAGTCCATATTGTGAGGTCAGTGTTGAATAAAAGGCATATAACATGTTCAGATGGATTTGCAGAAATTTAAGATACAGGGAGTTATAGCATCCTTCTGCTTGGTTCTGGCTAGCAACACATGGCTCACAGCTAAATATAGAAGGTAAAATTCAGAAGTGTGTTGGGCAAGGGTGGGTTGGGGGTGGAGAGAAGACTGGAATGTGCCTAGTTAAAAAGATGAAAGAAATTCAAATATATTTGAAATATCAAACGAACTAGTCAGCAAATATCCTGGCAATTAAAATTAGCAAGAAAATGAGATCATGTCAATTGAAACGTAAGGACTTTTAAAGAATAAGCTGGATGAACTTCAAGAATGCTTGGCAAGGATGCTTTTGAGAAGGTGCATCCTATGGTTTCCACTACAGGGCTCCCACTGAGTTCCTTTCCAGCTTTGGTCTTGTGGTTATTTTCCCCATTAGTGAATCACACATTTTCATACTGGGATCTCCTCCATTCATATCAAATGTATGGTTGCATTTAATTGCTAATTTGCAGTTAGTTTTCTTTGGGGATATGTTTTATATGAGCTTAGTTTCAGGAATTCCCTACATATGTATTTACTCAGCAACCATCGGCTGTATTATGCCTTCTGAGGCATTGGTATAATTAGAAGTATAACAATTACATAATATTTTACTAAGCAAGAAAATAATATTCAAAGAGTATCCCTGAAATGATGGAGTACTGACAGACAGTTCTGACTTCTCGTGAGTTTTTCACACTGAAGAATGCCTGGGTCAATGATAATAAAGGCCATAATGTCTCCATTAGATTCAAAGAATCTGTGTAAATTTCCCAGACTCCCACTGACTGTGGAAGTTTTTTCAGTAAAGATACTATTAAACTCAATAGTATTTTAGGCCTCAGCTAGCAATACTTTATTTTGCCGGTCATTACTCCAATAGAATCCTAGTGATGAGCTGTGTCAATGAAACGGCAAACAAAATGATCTGTCGGGGAAAGTGTTGCTACAAGTCCACTTGATAGGAAACCTTCTTTGACATTTCCAGTTGCTTAGCTCTTGCCTTTATGCCATTTCGAAATGAAAAGAAGTCTTACTATGTATCTTTCTATACTTAAGTTGTAATGGGTAAGTTCCAGTCACTGTCACAGAGTTTCACAAATGGAACCTTGCTGCTAATCTCTAGACAGTTGACAGATTCTGTATAGAAGGCTTCTGTTATTTTTCTGGTCATGATCCATTGTTGCTGTTTCCCTTTTTTGCAGGCAACTTATTGAGATCAGTGGGAACTCTCTGGATGGAAACACTGAATGCAAGGCTTTGTGTTTTATTCACAGTGTGATCCTCAACATTAACTCTGAATTCTATAATTGATTATGCACTTGATTTAGGCATAATGATCTTAGTCTAATAAACTATGGTGTTGTGGTTTCATATCCTGATCTGTACCCATTCAGACATTATAGGACACTGTGGTTTAATACAC